CTTAGCTGAAGAGAGGCAATGCAGCAGGTATATGCTGTATCCCTGCTGACACAAGACAAAATGCAAACCCTATGGCACAGGGTTTGCATGTTGTCTTGGCTGCCATCTGGCAGTCCACTACTATGGTATAGTGATACAGTTACTGCGGTCAAAGTGATCAACCACATCCTCATTAGCACTTGCAGGAAGATCCTCCATAAGTCTAGGGTTCACCGGAGTTCTGTGGTACTGACCATAGACTGGTTGCGGCACTCTTTGGGTCCACTTCAAAACTGTGTTTCCAATGTCCATCCTGAGGTGTGTTCCATCTGGACAGGCTGAGGGGAGAGAACTGTGCCCAGAGATTCACTGCAGCTATCTGTAATATATTTGCAGTACTCAAAAACCTGACTGACCCTACTACTCTATGAGACTCCTTCAAGCGTGAAACACATGACGCAGCTCAGGAGTCCATTTGCAAACGCCCAAGATCAAGACAGAACTTCATGTTGCAGAAAGACGCTGGAGGCCACAGGTGCATGTCGCATGGCTTGATTGAGTGGCATTTGGGATTTACAGTTTTCTTTGGTGCACAGGACTCGGATGCTGTCCAGGAGGGACAATGAACAGTATATCAGGAATCTTGCTGAGGAGGTTGAAGGCCATTTCTTAGTAAATGACCATCCTGCTTACCAAGTCCTGAGAAAGCTGAACTCCATGCCCTCCTCACAGACAATCTGCTTGATGGATGGACGGATCATATCAGAGCATTGGGCTGAATATTTTGAGCAGCTGTATCAAGTTGACCCACCAGCAGTTTGGACTCAACTGGTGCCGCAATCCCTGTACCAGATCCAACGAAGACCCTCCCTGGCTGAAGGCAGGTAGGCGATCTCCAAGCTGAAGGGAGGCAAAGCAGCGAACTTACGTGGTATCTATGCTGAACTACGAAATGCTTGTGATGAACCTATGGGGCGGGGTTTGCATGCTGTCTTGGCTGCCATCTGGCAGTCTGGTACCATTCCCCCTGACCTGCTGAGGAGTGTGGTTATCCCTCTCTAGTAAGAGATTGGTGGGACTGCACAACCACTGTCACATCATACCGCTCAGCATACCAGTCAAGGTTCTCGCCCACATCCTTCTAAGACACATCCAACACCATCAACTAAGGCACCACAGACCGGAGCAATTTGGACTTACTCCTGACAAGTCCACAGTAGACCATATCCTAGCGCTTTGAATCATATTGGAATGCCATTATGAATTTGGTCGTGATCTGTTCACAGCCTACAGCACCATCAAGAAAGCATTTGACTCGGTGCATTGCAAATCCCCATGGGAGATCCTGAGACTTAGGGGAATTCAAACAAGGATTATTGTATACTGGTACTGAAAATGAGGTAGGAGCCTGTCAAGCTTCTTTCCACCACTTTTTAATACTTGCATGGACTGGATAATGGGTAGATAATATTAAGGTCACTGATCTTGACTTTGCCGACGATATCACTATCCTTTCTCAGTCCCTGGAATCTCTGGTGGCGGCTCTTGATGCATTCAGCGATGAGGCGAAGCCCTTGGGCTTAGAAGTCTCCTGGACCAAGACCAAGACTCAGGATTTTGGGGCCTGCAAGGAGAACTTGTTCACTGAGAGCTTTACATATATTGGATGTTTTATCCTAGACTCTGGGCTGTTAGACAGGGACGGATTGGCTTGGCAGCAGGAGTCACGAACAAGAGTATTTAGAGATGCCAGTACCTGTGCAGAAGGACCAAGCTATGTGTCTTCAAGGCCTTGACGCTATCCTGTGCCTTGGAGTCGCGTCTTGATGCATTTTGCAACAAGTTCTTGCGCCGGATCATGGGATACAGTTGGCAGGACCATGTGTCAAATCGAGGACTAGACCGTGAGACTGGCGTAGGATCTGTTGCCTGCACAATCCAGGACCGCCAACTCAAGCCCTAGCACTCACACACACACATACATACACACACGAACACACACACATACACACACACACACACACACACACACACACACACACACACACACACACACACACACACACACACACACACACACACACACACACACACACACGCACACATACACACACACACACTCACATACACACACACACACACACACACACACACACACACACACACACACACACACACACGCACACATACACACACACACACTCACACACACACACACACACACACACACACACACACACATATATATATATATATATATATATATATATATATATATATATGTGTGTGTGTGTGTGTGTGTGTATGTGTGTTTGTGTGTGTGTGATTGCGTGTGTGTGTGTATAGTAGTGCAGTAGTGAAAGGGTAATGAGAGGAGTTAGTTGTTGATTACATGTGCTAAGGTAAGGATTAACGAGGGTGATTAGATCAAAGGTGTCAAAGGAAGAAGTGTGGGATTATGCAAGGAAGTCCGTAAGGCAGGGATTAGTAAACGGAGAAAAGGGTTTATGGGCGATTATATCACACTTTTAGGAGAAGCACCAGGAGGGAGGGAAAGGGGTTGTTGGGACAGAGTCACATGTGCATCCAGGGGGAAGCGGAAGGGATGATGATAAGGAAGGGGGGGATGATGCAGGTGAAACAAGGGGGAAAGGGATGTGTTGGGAGGGAGTGGGAGCAAGGGGTGTAGGGGAACATAAATAGGAGAATGGATGTCGGCAGTTACTTTAAGTGTAAAGGAAATGGGTGAAGTGTAGGCACGTTATCTTGGGTCATGATTATATAGTTTTGAATGTCCTCGAATTTCTGAATTGGATTTGGTTGGGGAGGTCTGAGAGCAAAGGTTTTCTTATGAAGGGGGGAAGAAGAGATAGGCGTCAGAGGGGTAGAGGAATAAGTAGGTGGAAGAGGGGGTGTGTTAGGAGAAAATGGGGTGGAACGTTTAGATAGTCTGCTACGGGTAAATCGAGGAGAGAGAGGGGTAGGTGTCGGGACAGTACTAGACATTTGGGTGTTTGGATTTAGAACTGCAAAAGAATTTGATTGGGAGAGGAAGGGGGTAGAAGTGGAAACGAAAGATGAAGGAGGAACAGATATGGTGGGGGATGTAGAAACATCTTGGGAGGAAGGGGGGGGGGGGCAAAGTGAATGGTAGCACAGGGGTAGGAAGTAAGAGAAAAACCTTCTTGGCGTATTTCGTCTGACTTCGCATAAAGTGAAATCAAGTTTGAATCTGAAAATTGCCACCTCAGGCTCACCTTTAAGGGCATATCAGCCCCTGTGGAATATATTATGGGAGCCAACAACATTGGCACACGTGCATGACTATGTGGAGTATTTTATCGATCATGACCAGGTTGGGCACACAGAGAGCGTCGGGCTGTGGGGCGACAGTGTTTGGCAGGGTGGCCAAGACGCCAACAATTCTGACCTTGGCCGATATGGTCGAACAGGGAGGGATTCTCCGCCAATATAAACATCATGGGGGGGGGTCATGTTTACGGAAAATAATCTTGGCAATATTGTTGGAGGACTTATGGCGGCCTCTGGAGGGAATGGTGTAGCATTGAGTGAAGGATGTGGTTTCTCAGGAATGTTTTTGCCAGTGAAGTCAGTCGGACTTGATAATGGTTTAGCTTAGGATTTCGATGTAAATGACAAGGCGGGAACGATCGGGCGGCTGCGGAAGGAAACTTTGTCTACTTGTTTTAGGAGACGTTGTTGGAAGAGGGGAGTGTTGTCGAGTAAGGGGCTGTAGGAGGATCAAAAATTGATCAACAGATTTGTAGAGGCTGGGGTAGTAGAAAGACAGGGCCTTGAGGAAGAGAGAGTGAAGCACTACTGTGGACAGTACGTATTAAGGAAGGGTAGTAGCAGTGTTCAAAGGAGAGCCTGGGGTCAGGGAAGCGGGGGAATTAAGCTCAGTGGGGCTAGTTGATAAAAGGTCAAGCCTCATTGCCCCTAATAAAGGTACAATTTTCTTATTACTGGCTACGGTAATCCTACAGTATAATGGAGAGAAATGGTACACCGTTCAGGGTCCCCTTGAGGGGTAAAGGCTAGACAACTAAAGACTACAGTGCCTATGGCTCCTCTAGGCCGTTCTTGATTGGCACCAAGTCTGCTTTTGTTCCTTTCAACATGGCTCTCACATCATAGGGATAGCAGGAGTTGGATAACAGAAAAAAAAGGAGAGGGAAAGAAGAGTAGACCGCGTTTCATCCTTTCAACACAGCTCTCACACTTTGGGAAGTGGATAGCAGGAGTTCGATAAAAGGGAGAGGAGAGGGGAAGAAGACAAGACCGAGCAAAATTATTTGTGACAAAAGCAAGTCACATCCAGAAGGAAGTAGAAGGGATGATAGGGAAGGAGGGGGGAATATGAGTAGCCGGAGGATAGATGTCGAAGCCACTTTGAGTGTAGAAAGAATGGGAGTAAAAAGACTGGAGGATGTATGAGGCATATGTTATCTTGGGCCCTGATTAGATAGTTTTCAATGTCTTCTGAAGTATATTGATTGATTATTTAAAATTATCTGCCGCATTAACAGCTAAGGTCATTAGCGGGGAACACCTTGTTAGACTGAAATATCAAAATATTTAAAATGTTAAAAAACTATCAATAAATGTCATATAATAACAGTAAGTATTATATTAAAAATGAGAGCTTAAACATTATGCTCTAAATGTATAAAATTGTTGCATAAACATCATGCATGATTAAATCTTATTGAAAATATTGGTTTCCCTAGGGGAACTAATAAGACCTTCAGTGTCACAGTCTTCCCCCAATACATCAGTGTATATGGGGGAGACAAGTACCTACGTCTTTGATCTGAGAATGTTGCACATCTTTCCACTCCATGTGCGACCGTTAATGACTCTTGGCATTCCTCACAGCGTGCTTCACTTTTAGCCACCATCAGCCCATGAGTCAGTCTTGAGTGCCCAATTCCCAGCCTTGTTAATATAACTACTTGTCGGTTGGGATGGATGGATTCTCGCAGTTTGTTTCTAGGGTAATGCCTCCATTGTTCCCTCCATCCATCACGAAAACAACTCCCGACGCTGGGCCCCAAGTCAGTGTGTGGGAGTGGAAAACGACCGCTACAGGGCCGAGCGGCAGACGCCCCGGCCCCCCGATCAGTTCGCCCACCCCCGCCGACACCAACGTGTGCTAGCACCTAACACAGAGCTACCCCCCCCCCCACACACACACGCGCGCTGACATCAGTGCAAGCCAATCCTGGTTCACGCAGTCCCGGTGCAATGAAAGAGGTGGCTCTTCACTCCCAGCACACACGGACTCCACAGGTGAAGACCCGAAAGCCCATATACAGATTGCGAGAGCCCCACCATGAACCGAGCCCAACATCCGGAGAACAGCGGGAGATGCAGATGAACAAGCCCCACATCCATTGTCAAGTTCACCACGAATAAGTACTCGGCAAAGCCGCAGAAGCGCTGTGCGGTCTGCACCCCAAGATAGGTGCGAAAGAACCCGCAAAACACCAAAACCAGCTTTCATCCTCAACTGCCCGATGCGAGGCACCCATGCAAGCCCCGAGTCAAAAATTAGACCCAAGCATCTCACCCCCTGGACAAAATGCTGTGGGTCCGCTCCCAAATAGAGGGAACACACGGCATGTTCTCCATCACACTACCTGACCCCCCGCAGCCTACATGTGTTCCCCCACATCCTACAAGCCTCCTCCTGAGCAGCACAGTGCAAAGTCATCTACCCTCAGACCGCATGAGACAACACCCAGAACGACTATGAAGTGGAGTTGGTTGGTGAGGTCTAAGAAACAAAGGCTTTCTTATATGGGGGGGGGGGAGAGAAGAGGGGACAGGAGCCTGAGGAGCAGAGAAAGAGGTTGATGTAGAAGATGCGGTGGAACATTTAGCTTGTCTTCTGTGATGAGTCGATTTAGAAGGAGGGGTAGGTACTGGGGAAGTAGAGACTGAAATGTCTGAATTTGGAATAGTGGTAGTTATTGGGGTGGCAGGATTTAGAATGGCAGATAAATTTGCCTGGGAGAGGGAGGGGTTAGTAGTGGGATGAGGAAGAAATACTGGGCGGATAAAGAAACATTTTGAGAGGGATAGCGAGGGGCGAAGGACAACACTGGAGTGTCCTCACATAAAGTGAGGTCAAGTTTGAATCTGAAAATTGCCACCTCAGACTCAAACTTGTAGGCCAGGCAGCCCCTGTAAAATACATTGTAGGAGCCACCACAATTGGCACACATGCATGATTCTACTGTGCAGTCTGAATGATCAGGTTGAGCATATAGAGGGTAGCAGGCTGTGGAGCGACAATGTTTAGTAGAATGGCCAAATAACACTTTTGACATTGCAAGGCGAGGGGTCGATATGGAATCTCCACCAATATAAACTTCATGAGGAGGTCACATCTACAGAATGTAATTTTGATAATATTGGTGTAGGGCATTTGCTGGCCTCTGGGGGAAATAGTGTAGCATTTCACAGATAATGCATAGTCAATGAGGCAGGCAAGTTTACTTGATTTTACAGTCTGTCCAATCCTTATCATGGCAATCAGCTGGGGAGATAAGGCCACACTATTTTTTTGTTGCATTGCAGGCAGAACTGCTGAATATGTATTGCAGGAGGTAGGGAAAAAATAAAAATAAAACTGGTCCACAGAGCAATTCTATTTCTATTTTCTCCTCTGAATGCCAAAAAAATATAGGGGATATTTTATCTGCTGTTTCCCTTATTCATATGGCTCCAGTTGGATAGATCATACTTACATCAGGACTAAAATATAAAAAATAAAACAGGAAAATTACAAGTCTTTCTTTTGGAGGGAATAATAAATATAACAGAAAACATCAGGAATTACTTTCAGCAGGAATTTTAAAAACTTAATGGTTTTCCAAGAGCAATTATCAGCAGGCATGATATGCAAGAAAGAAAATTGGTGTTGTCTAAAGGCTAAATAAAATACTGTGCCCATGGCTCCCTGAGGCTGTTCAGACTTTTATTCTTTCAACACAGCTCTTGCATCTTTGGAAGTGGGCAGGTGTTGGAGAGAAGGGGCAGGGGAGGAGGAGATCAAAAGATCATGCTAAATTGGTTGAGCCAAGTGCTGAGGCTAAAACAGGAGAACCCTTACATTCGGCCTCACTCTTTATCTCCTATGCCCCCCACCCCCATGACGATAACAGGGATGGGTTTGCGGGTCACTTTGTGGAATGACACATAATAATGTAAATTATATTCACACAGCTGTAAAACTCATCTTTTTCAAACCTTTTTTACAAATTAACACTTCATTATAAATTCAAACAACACTTTCATTACTTCTTTAGTTTATAACAAAATTGTTTGAATTTTAACAAGTCCACTAATTTTGGTCAATGAAAAAATCATGAGGCTTTAGGATTTTTAAAAATAATATAGTGCAAACCCTTTATTGATTATATAACAATTTTATCACAATTGTTCATTGGTACAAATACTATCACATGTTTGTTCTAGGAATGATCTTCATTT